GGCGCTGTCGGACACCACGCCGACAATCCTGCTCTCGGAGCGCCGCGTGGGCGCGTGGCGCCGCACTTTCACCCTGCCCGAGGACGTCGAGATGAAAGAGCTCAAAGCCCGGCTGGAAGGCGGGTTGCTGCGCATCGACCTGCCCAAGCGCAGCCTCGAGGATATGGAGGCGCTCAAGGGCGCCGGCGTGAGGATCGAGATCGAATAAGGACCTACTTGCACCCGGTAAGGTTGCACGTTGCCTACTCGGTATAGGGATGTGGACGGGTGTGACGGAGTCGGCGAGGCAGGCCATCAACCCAGCCAGCCAGCCAGACAGACAAAAGGGCCTGCCGGCTGGAGCGAGTAAGCAAGCAAGTAAGCAAGCAAGGTAGGGGAGAAAAAAAAAGATAACGCCAACATGTCGGAAACGCGAGCAATTGCTTTTTCATAGAAATTCATCTGTCGTCTATTGAGGATATGGTATTCATGGCGAAGGAGGAATGGGGGAACCACAGGGGAAGGGTGAGCACACTTGCAAACAAGCAACGGGCGCCATGCATAGCTGAAAAAAAGTTCTCTCGTCTTTGACATATCTGGTCTGCTGCGACGCTCAGCCAGACCGGGGTGAAAATGCAATATTAATATTATAATAATGGATTCCGTCACTCACTCAGTCACTCGCTCAACTTCCGTACTCATATAATTGCCTAATTGCCTGGTCAATTGCTTAGTCTGTGGACCCAGCTCGGTTTTTTGGTCGTTGCATATGTACATACATGGAAACACGCACATACATATCCATACACATATACGCATATCCACACACATTTACACAACCATATACACACACATATCCATACATGCATATGGACATACATATTACTATATGCATACATGTCCCTTCCTTCTCAAGCCACGCGCTTCCTCGACTTTTCTCTTGTTTTTGGGCGGGGCTTTTCTGTGGACAAAAATAGCTTCTCATGCCAACTTCACACTTACAATGAAGAAAACTAAAGGGAAAGGATATACAGACAGATACATGAAATGTGATTCTTAGCTCGACCCATCACTTTCTTTTGAGTGGGGGAACAAACATCATCGTCAATACATACATGACATACCCTCCAGGGCCTCTTGAGGTCCTGGAGGCCGGCCACCCGGCCGCCCAACCACCTTGGAACCTCTCAAGCGTCCAACCCATCCAACAGGCACCCACTCAACGTGCGCCGGGACTCCTAACAAGAGCTGTAATGATACTTCGTCGCTGTCTGTATATATACACACCGACACGGAAACTCTCCAAAAGCGCGACTTTCGGCAAGCGGACGAAACAGGGTTCTATGCGGCCGGTAGCACAGCAGCGCAAAGATCCCCGGCGCCGCTGCTCGACAGTTCAAGCGTCGCAAGCAAGAAGAGACACATAGCCGAAAGGGGGGCTGATATATGTACGGATGGATACTTTGACAATTTTTTTTCTTCTTGCATTTTTTTTTCCGCTGAAAAATTTAGACTGCTTGAACCTGAAGATTCACCATCTGCTTGAGCAGACTGCAATCCTCGCAACGCACCAACTTCTCCAACACCCGGACTCTTTCGGTCAGTCTGTGGATTTCGTTTTCCATGTGGCGCATTTCAACTTCGGTCTGGTTGACGTAGTTCATTGCCTCGGTCAACACGTCGCTCTTGCGCACTTTTGGAGGAGGGAGTCCGCTGGCCGAGTTCGTGGCTTCGGCTTCACCGTCATCGCCGACTTTGGGTCCGTAATGAGACGCTTGCAGCGTGTTGTGCAGCTGGGAAATCTTGGCGTTGAGATTCTCGCGGTACTTGCGTTCTACGAGTGAATGGGCTTGTTTGGCGCGTTGTTTGGCATCGGCTTTGGATGGAGCAGTCGATTTGGTGGTCGGCTGGTCGTCATCCTCGTCGTCCGACGCCAGCGATGCCGCGGTGGTCATGGTTGGACTTGTTCGGTTTTGCCGGCGGGCGGCAGCAGAAGATCTTCGAGGGGGAAGGGGGACGGTGTCAGGCTGTTCGCTGGTTGCGGTCGTGGAACTTGATGAGCGCCGGGTGGCTGAAGATCGGGAGGTGGCTGTCGTACTTGTCCTCGTGCTCATGCTGGGCCGCTGATGGAGCTCGACAGACATGCTGTCGTTGCTGATCATGGTCTCACTGGGCGAGGTCGTCGACCCTGTTATGCAGGGGACTGATGTGCACTCCTCAATGGGCGGGAGCGTGGTGAAGTTCATGCAAGGTGCGTCTGGGCCACAGCGTTGGGGTTGGCAGCTGTCTACTTGGCCTGCAATGAGAGGGCAGAGCTTCTCAGTCGAGTCTGTTTTGGATGCTATGGAAGCAGCGATAGGATCCAGATTGGTGATGGACCGGCTGGTGTTGAGAGAGTCAGAAGCTGATAACGTTGTCGTGAGATTGTTGTCGTTGTTTAGCATAGTTGCATCGTCATCAGCGCGTGAGTTGCTAAGGCTCGACTGATCCATGGGTGGAAGATTCGCCTCCATGTTCAGAAGCTGAGAGTAGGAATATTGGGTGTTCGAGTAGATGTCTCCTGAGGATCTGCGTGGTTCGGAAGACTGTTGATGAGAAGAAGAGGTGATCAGGCTACCCGTCGAGCCCTGGCGGTGATTGGAAGATCGAAGATACGCCAGCGGATCCTGATCTCTGTCCATGGCGGTCGAGTATTTTTGGTTTTGGCTCAGGGTTGGCTGTGAGTTCAGATTCCCCCGTGACGAAGTGAGCGGAGTCGTGGTGAAGTCCATCTCATGCCACCCGGTGAAATCGATGGAGTCGGGGTCGACGATGGCAAGCTGGGGATGCTGACTCTGAAATGCATGTTGCCCGTGGAAGTCAGGAGAGCCGTCCTGCTGGCGGAACAGCTGCCGGAAGGGCATTGCTTCCACTGACATGATGCCTTTCCCACTGAAGCAGTCGTTTCCTTGGTTTCAGACCTTTGGTTCACACAATGGGGACCTCACGGTCCGAAAGATTACCGTTTTCGATGTCCGAGTCAACCCACAAGGCGCTTAATCGGAGGCCGTCTACCAGTCTTCGTCGCTGGTGTCCTCGCTTGAGACCGAGGTCGTGACAGTCGTTCAGCACTAACAGGCCAGTACAGTGGGCAAGTTGCCGTCGATTTGGGGCGATAGTGTTCGAGGAAGGGAGGATGTCAGGCCACGATGACGGTGTTAAGAGGGAATTTTGGCGGTGGAGTTGCGTGTTTGATGAAGTAGTAAGTCGAGTGACGACGTTGGGACTCGGCACAGCAAGTCCGGAGGGTTCCAGCGTCAACGCCAGCAGCCAGTGGATGAGTGAGAAAGCCCCTCGGTCACACCACGACCCCCACCTGCCGTATTGCCAAGTCTCCAGTGACAGCATCATGGCCACTGCCAGCGCTCTATTTCTCGCTTAACCTTGCTAGCGGTACCAGCATTACGGGTGAAAAAAACCCGCCGGGCTTGGACCCACACGGAGATTGTTCCAGACTCGTGGGCATGAGACAGGTCAATGGCCGTTGTAATGACAACAATGACCCGGCAAAATGCTTGGAAAGTGGCCGTATGGTACCGGAATAAATCCTCGTGGCCTGACAGTCTTCCATGGCCCGAATCCTCCCCTGCGATCGGATCGACCAGTCATTCCTCCTGCTTTCAGGCCTCTCCTCAGCTCTGAGTCTTGGCCCAACCTGGCCTCCTCCGTCCGGGGCATCTTCTGCATGCCCTGCGTCTCCCAAGTGCCCCGCGGAGGCGGCCGTGGTCGATCTCTCCGTCACCAGAGAACTGTTACTCTTTCTTTGCGAGCTGGTGATGTGATCACACAACACCTGAGCGCTTTGAGCTCTCTATCAAGTATTGCTGATGAGCACAGAAACAACAATCCCACCACCAATGGGTGAATTCGGCACGTAGATGGTACCTGGCCATGGCGACCAGATCCAAGAGTTAAAAACCGTCATGAGCCAGCGCCGAACAAACGGTAAGTCACACCAACACCAACACAACATCTCAGCTCAATCTGCATCTGCGCTCCGTCAAACAAAAAGCCAGAAACATCTCCCCGTTCAGTCTCGCCAAAGTCACGATCAACTCTCTTCTCAGCCGCCAAAATGAACGCCGCCCGTCAAATCATCTCACGCCGCTCTGTCATGGCCATGGGACCCCGACTCACCTCCCCTGCCCGATATGCCTCGACGGCCGTACCACACCATTCGTCGCACTCGAGCATGTCGCCAAAGGATAGGCAGTTCATGCGAGGCATCTTTACTGTGGCAACTATTGCGACTGCAGGAGCTGTGGCCTATGGGGTAAGTCTTGCCGACCCATGATTTACCTTTTTTGCAAATGTACCTCGTGCCCTTTGCCAAGATCCAAAGGCTGACAAGTTGTCTTGTCCAGGCTTCCAAATCAGGTGGACGGATGAACAGCCGCTTCGTCAAGCGAAACTCAACCCTGGACAGCAACAAATGGTTCTCAGAGAGCCAGGATTATAATACCATGCTGGGTAGCAAACATTAGATTTGCGGTCCCATGGAATGTCATCAGCTTATACATTTTCATGAATGGAAGGCGTTCGACCTCTTTTGTGAGGGGGTGGGTTGGTTGGGACAAGATGGCTTGGGAGTTACAGCGGCCCCCTCGGGGAGGTTGGGTTATGCATGGGCTGCGGCGTTCATCAACCAAAGGGATCCCATGGAGAAAGAAGATGAAAAATACAGAGATGAAAAAGCACGACTGGGGGTCTGCAAAGTTTGTGTGTCGTCAGCGATCTGACGACCATAAAGTTTCGTTTCGCCTTGTACATATTCCAAAGTACACTTTTGTGGGTATCACAAGAAAAACTCCATGCGAAAAAAGTCCCTTCCGTCATCCAATACCCTGCCCTTCCAAAGTAACTTTCCATGTGTCAGCCTGGCCCATAAGACACATGAGACCTCCGATCGACAAGACTCCACGCCAAGAAGAAAAACACGAGAGCTGACAAAAGATAGTGCAACTGTTCCCCGGATCTCAGTCCTATCCTGAATCCTCCGAGCGATGGGTCACAAGGGGTATAAGAGGCCGAATGGCCCAGACATCCTCCTCCTCTTCCTTGTCGTGCTTGGCGTCCGCGGAGTCGAATGTCGGGCTGGAGCATTCAGACCTCTGGCTCTCGCTTTCGTAGTCCGTGCAGCTGTCATCGCTCTCGGCTGAGGTGTCCTCCTCCTCATCAGACCAATCTCCGTCGCAGCTGTCGCAGCTGTCGTAGTCGCTGTCATCCTCCTCCTCTTCATCACTGTTGTATTCCTCGGCGTTTTTGTATTGAGCTGAAGCTGCCCGAATTTGTGCAATGGTTGCCAGCTGAGCTTCGAGCGCGGCTTGGAATTCCGTGAAGGAAGGCACTTGGTGTTGGATGTAGGCGGATAACTCATTCGGTTCCGGCCTTGTCTCTGACGATGGCTGCGCCACCTGGGCTTGTGCAAATGTCCGCGTTCGATCGTACACCGAGATGTGGCCTAGTACCCTCCGTAGCCTAGGTTCCTCGCGGGCTGATTCTGTGTTCAGTTTCCAATGTGATTTGAACAGTAGCCTTGCCGCAGACTGAGAGGTCGTGTCTGGTAGGGGTTGCAATTGAGGCTTGGAGGCAAAACAACGCGGGTCATGCGAGTAGAGGGCACCCAGCTGTTCCATGACGTGATGGACGAATGTTCGTTGTTTGGGAGGTCTGGCTACGGGAGAGAGACAGCGTGGAGGTATTTCAGCAGGAACTGTCAAGAACAAGAGAACAGTGAAAGCCTGATCTGGAGGAAGCTGGGGAAAGATGCCTTCTTGAACTTCGCATTAGGCTGAGAAAAAGGACACGGACCGGTGCATCTAGGCCATGAATCCACGTCGGTGTGGTCGAGAGGACCAGCCAGTCCATGGTTTCTTGTACTCAATCCTGGTCAGCCACGTTCACCTGCAATGGGGTCCACAACGACCATGCCGCAAAGGGGAAGAGGAGACAAAGGGGTTGCGTGAAATCATTCGATGACCCAAGTTTTGGGAGCCCATGCGGCTGAAAGAAGATTCTGGGGATGGCCTTTCGCAGGACTGAAGAGGAGGTGAAGACGAGCTTGGACCAGAAGCGAGTGGCCTTCCGGGTGGCAGCCCTGTTCGGGGACCACTGAGCAAGCGACACGGTCAGGCCAGGTCGCCTTCACTGCTCCTCTTTTGGCCCGATGGGGGGCTAAGCGAGGGCCAGTCCTCGTCGGGTAACACTATCGACCTTTTGAAGTATACCTAGCCTTAATAAGGGGAGGGCGGGGCTCAAGGGAGGGGGTTTTTAGGGACTGTACCTCCCAAGGGGGGAAGAACTCTTTGTCGAGTGAGTCCACCATGGAATCTACCGTGGAAAAAGACAAGGAAGAGGACCAGATGATCCCCGACTTGGGAGCGGGGGAAAAGGAGCCATCCACGAGCCATCCACGAGCCAGTTTGATCCAGCTTGATCCAGGCCCCCAATAGGCGTCACTGGGCGTCTTGGTGTTTGTCGCTAACCGTAGGCTACGCCTATTTAGGATCAACTCTCGCCTAATTGGGACTCGGCGAACGCAGTGGGCACGGTGAGCACGAGATTTGACACATGATTCTGGCACCGCTTTGCACCACTTTGCTCATATCAGTCGGTCTCAAGCAAGCCACCGTTCCGTTCCCCCAAACCTCAAAAGGACATGTCGCAGATTACCGAAAAAGATGCCTCACCACATGGCTGCCGGGATAACGCTTGACTTTGTCGCGACTTTGGCTTCCAGGCTCCCAGCTGCAGGCGAGAGCACGCCACAGATCTGGTCTATCGAGAGTTTAAACAGCATGGAAAAAGGGGGTTTCCTTCCTGCTCGAACCACAAAACACATGGTGGCTGCCAGATGGGCAAGTGCATGCGTGCATGTTGCTGCAAAGCACACTCTCTTTTCAGCAAGGCTCGCCGACCTTGTCATGCCGCTACCTGAGATTGGCTTGAAGCGGGTACCTCTTCTCAACTAAGCCCCCTTGGATTGAATCCAAGTCGATCTCTTGCCCTTTGCTGCGAAGTTTGGGCATGCATTGGTGAAGGTTGACGTGATGCTGGTGGAAGTCTAGCGTTCACAGGCTGCCGGCTGCCCTCTGCCGCCCTGTCTCTAACTCCTTGCTGTTAGTCCACTTCTTCACCGCCAACAATCCCTGACATTCATGTTGATAGTGAGGAATGACATTGATTTCCTACTAGCTTCGGGACAGGAGCCGAACATTGACAACAGAAATCGCGACAGAGGTTCCTTGTAAGCAGGCTGCGGTAGGTGACAGCAACAAAGCCACAAGGCCACCCGAGCTTTCCACATTGCTCAAAGCGTCGACTACTTGGTAGGTATTTTGTACTAAGTAAGCACTCATTCCAATCATTCTGACTAGAGTCCCTACAAACAAAGAAGGTTCTCAGTCTGCGAACTTGCGCTGCCACTTCAACACTCCTACCCCCACCTTCTGCCCCTCGACGCCTCCTATCTTAGCAGGATTGATTGTGACGGCATTTGGCACCAAAGTCTCAAAAGAGAATCCACATTTCTCAAACACCTTTCTGCTGGCAAGGTTGTGTTCAAAGTGTGTTCCGACCACTGTGTGAGCATTCATGTGTGGAATGATAATTTCAGCCATCAGTTTTTGCAGGACGGCCGGCATGATCCCACGGCCTTGATATTCGGGTAGGAGCCAGACTGTGCCTTCTATTAGTGGATGTTCCGCGGTGAGAGGATGTCTACGGAGCGCCGGTTTCGAAAAGAAACGACGGACTCACATCCGATTTCCCAAGTAATGTTCGGATCGCCAGCTTCAAGCCTGTCGTTTTCTTCTTTCCGCCGCTTTCTTTCCTCTGCATCCGCAATATACAAAAAGCTCTCCCTCTCCACGCCAATATCACCAATAAACTTCTCAATGGTACCTGTCTCTGACTCCTCGATATGTCGGATGGGCGACGTCCAGTGTCTGCCGAGCCACGGCCTCTGTGACCAGTCGGACAGAGTTCCGATTTCCCCAGCACTGGAACTTGCTTGCTCGCGTTCCCGGATGGCGTTCAACTCTGCCCAGTTTTCCTTCCACTCGCGGGATACCTTGGTATACCATTCGTCCCTGTCCTTCTCCGTGTAAGGATAGGGCGGGCCGTTAAGGTTCATATACACCTTGGGATCGTTGAGACCATGGATGACGGCAGCTCCATCAGACTCACGAGGCGGAGTGAGCACTATTCTCAGGGTCGGGTGAGGTACTGGGATGTTAAAGTCTGAGCTCTCCACGCCCGACTCCATGGTTTAGGTAACAGCGAGAGTCTCTCAGGGGATTTTGAATGGGATCTTGAGAATCGGCGTCACAGATCGTGGAAGCTCCAAATATATCATGCAAAATGAGTCAAATGAGATCAAGATGGAGTGAGTCACCTCCGTCCAACACTCTCGCATGTTCTCATGCGTGCTACCACAGTTGGTGACTCCATGAGCAGCAGCCCTCAGCTATGGTTACATAGACACCAAGCAATATGCACCGACTCGTCCCTGACAGATTTGAGTTATGTAACGCGTGGCGGCCGCGTGGTTCGAAGGCTTCAGGTATCGCCTTTGCTACGGATCATTGTTTCTCCGAGAACAGCGACCTTGTTATAAGGATGAGTAACAACCTCCTTTCTCGCTAAGTACTCTGACCTTCCTCGCCGGTTGCGAATGTCGTTCCCAGGAAGCAGATGGCAAGGTTGGACTGTCACTACTACATTCCACCACATTAGACGCTTGACTGTTCAACTCAGGTGAAGTAAAGGGAAGAAGCGCAATTATTGTTATACAGAAGGCGGCACACCCCAATAGCCACAGACGCCTACCCATAACAAACATTGAATTCAACGTCCAATTCAAAATCTTCCACGCGGTCAACACATTTTTTTCCCGCCCATAGAATGTCTTCTCTTAGATCATCTATCAAACGTGCCGCCGCAAAACGCCTGGACATCCGGAACCAACGGAAGGTCGCCTGCAGCGAACTCGGGTGCCACCACTGCCAACGCCACCTCCAAATCCTCGATGAAGTCGCACAAGAAGTCTCCGCCAGGCACTGCCTAGAACTCCCACGTAGCGTCGATGTATGCTTCTGCACCCGGATTCTGAGCCTTTCGCCATTCGGCTGAAAAGTATCCGACGCCCGCAAAGGCCGCGGTGTTGCAAAAGACGCCTTTTTGCTCAACTGGTTCTGGACGGCCTCGGGCATAGCCCGCGAATAAGCTACTCCTTTTGCCATAGATTCGCGACGGCGGGGGCACGTCGCGCTTCACAAGGGTCGTGTACGTCTGGTTGGAGCAGGAACTTTGCTGCTCGGAGCCCTTCTGCGCCGTCAGAGCCGCCGATTTGATCATCGCGTCGCGGAGGGTGGTCGAGTTGTACGAACTAGCGGCCACCTTTATCACTAGCTCCCCGTTGCTGTCGAGGCTGCCGGCGCTGACGTACTCTATGTTTGAAACAGTCACACTTCCTGTCTCGCAGGCAGTGGAACCCTTAGTTTGAGTCACTGACGGACAGAGTTTTTTTCTAGGGCGCTGGAAATAGAGGTGTAGAGAGCTGTGCCGGTCAGTGTGCCTATGTGTACGAGAGAGCTCCCTGCTTGAACGGTAACCTCTGCACTTGTGGGAGTGCACTGCAGAACAGTCGTGCAGCTAGGAGCATTGAATCCAACTAGAGTGCAGCCCTGGCAGTTCTTGGTGTACGCCGATGCAAATGTTGTGACACTTTCCTTCGCTGTGACTGGGATGGTGGTGTATGCACAGCTATCGCTCTGGTGACCTGTCGCCGGCACATACAGGGGCGACAAGGTGGCCGTGCCGTCGCAGAGACAAAATGCTTGTGTTATGCCTTGGTCCGGATCCTGCTCGTGTAAGATACATGATGGTTTAGGCATGGCTGGCGGAGAAGTGATCGAAGATGCAGGGGACGAGGACGTAGATACAGGAGTAGCATCTGTCGCCGCGGCTGCGATGGGACAAAGTGATGGAACATCAGCTTTAGTATCGTTACTGTCCCTTCTGGATTTTCGGAGTCCGGCAGGAACAGCTGGAACAGGTAGAGCACTGGCTTGACCTAAGGGTAAGAGAGTATTATCCAGCCCAGGCGCCGACTGTCCATTCTCCCAGTCGACGTCTTCCTGGAAATTGTTGGAGACGTCAATGCTAACAATACGCGTGACAGCGCTGTTGCGTTGCAAAATTGGAAGTTCATAAGTGCGCAGAATGTTGGGATCTGGATTCTTAACTTTAGGATTGGGCATAGGAGTCTGGAAAGCACTGACTCCGCCCGACGGCCCGAGCCGCTGTCCGACATACACAAGGACTTCACCACTACAAGATGAGGCATACGCTTCGGAAGAGCGCGCAACAAGCACTTGCATCCTCGCATTGATATCGAGCCTGAAATTTTCCCACCGGCCATCCATAACTCTCCTCCAGTAATCACCGTCCAGCATGTCATTGTACATGTTACCCGGTGGGTTGAGTCGATTGCGGAGCGGACCCATATCTTCCTTTTCAACGCCGAACGAGTAGAAAAGGCTCTGAACGTTTCCCGCGCCAATGATTCCACAGGTTTTGATGTCAGCCAGTATACATTCGACCGTGGGGAAGATATTTGGGTCTTCGCAAGCCCAAAGCCCTCCAACCGGCGGCGTATTCAGACATGGCCTTTAAGTTGTATGGGACCAGTGGGAGCAGGTTCCGCATCTTCTGACTGATCTGAAATGCAATTGCCGGCTGTGGCTGATAACACATGCGTTCCCAGCATTATCGATAGGACGGACGAGAGTTGCACCATCTTCGATGTCGCAGATAGAGAGCTGAGAGTCCAGAAGGTGTACGTGGGGATTGGCTACCTTTGTCAGATATTGGCTTTTTGATGATCTGTAGTGTTACGTATTCTGATCTGTGGCGATGGAGAAGGGAGAGCTCAATTCAGACTCACCATCTGTCGTTATATCGCATCGCATAATATTTGCGGAACACGCCATATTTCAGCTATTTTAGTAGACTATTGAGCTTTCGGTCGCGGACGTGGTCTCTCATCTGGCGAGATATGGCTATGAAACAAGACGAAACGTTGCGGGAGCATCTTTGGGGGGTAGAATTGTACCAGCAAGCTGTCAACGGCGCTTGACAATGTCGTCTGTCCGTGAAGTAATTTCGCATGTTAGATATTCTTCATCGCCTCTGATCTAGTTCTGATACAGGCGGCTGGTTAAGGGTACATTGGCGGAGACGGACTTGGTCTTGTTGCATCTTCAAACTCGGTAGTCCTATATTGCTACGAAAGTTGAAAGCCAGCTTGTCTCGCCAATATAGAAGGCCAAAAGCGGACGCTGGTGCCCTCTAACTTAAGCGCGACTGTAGCGCTCATTGGGGGAAATGGCTCGGCCCAGGTGTGGGGGGGTACGTGATCCGGTGTTCGAGCATCGAGCAAGGTCAGCCTCAGGTTTCGGCGCTCTGAGGTTGTAGCCTCAAGGTCGTCGAGATTGGTGCCGGGTACAGCTTAGCCGCCCAGGAACGGTAGTGGGCATTCCATTCATGACCGAAGGAAGGCATTTCTGGGAGTGCAAGAAAAAGGGATTGTCAAAGCATTTGAATACAATGCCAGAAGAAGTTCAGAGACGAGGATGTTAACAGGCAAGGGGCCAAGGTTGAGGTTTGACCTGGCGAGGCTGGAAGGTCGTATTTCATTCTGTATATGTCCACTCCACCGTACTGCTGCCCACTTCACCTTACTCCGCCGTACTCCACACGCACTTCATTTGGCCTCGTAGGCTCTAGTTGCAAAGCGCTGTAGTATTTGCTCCAGCCTGGTCCATTTTGGCCTCCGCCTTTCGCAAGTCCCAGATTCCATACTCAGGCGCGCCGAACACTCCATTTAGTTCAAGCGCTAAAAGCTTTGAGATCAAGCACTTGCAATCAACAGAAGCAAATCCGAGGTCGGCGCATACTTGTACTGAGACACAGCTCTAGCCGCCGGACTACGCCGGCGGTATCAAGCGCTGCAGCATCAGCAGCCACCAGTCGTGCCGAGCGTGACAACAACAGTTCCGTGGCTTAAAATACAGATATAGTGAGAGTCTGACTTTAAATAATAGGCTTTGAGGACATTGATTCTGCCCAGCATCCTGCACGCTTCCTCTCTTCTCAACCGAGCACTTCCCAGAATGGCTCAATCTCTTCCGCCCGAACCCAAGATACTGTCTCCTCACCAGGAAGCAATGATTCAGGCATGTAAGACGGGCCAGCTCGCCAAATTGCAAAAACTTTTCAAGGAGCACGATGTGAAGCATGGAGACGACCCTGTGCATGACTGGCTTGCAAGGCTCCAGCGACAAGCACGCTGTTTGCCGCGGCCATTTCTCATGGACAGCAATCAACCGTCCGATATCTGCACTCCGTGTATCCCAAATTCGACTTCTATGATGCCTCAATCATCAATTCGTTCACTGCAACCCCAGACCTGGAAATGCTCAAATTGATTTACTCATACTCGCCTCGGATTGTTCGCTATGAGTGCGGTGATCACATAACAACGTTCTTGAGCATGGCTTGTGAAGGTGGCCCCCAAAATGCACCAGTTGTTGGCTTCCTCTTGGACCACGGAGCCATGCCCGACGATGACTTTGGCAGCTACGCGTACCAATTTGGAGTAGAACTGCTGCCTGCCGTTCGACACGATCAGCCAATAGAAATCATTGAGAAGATGATTCCTAAGGCCTCTCGTTTGTGGCTTCCTATCGACGTAGCAATCAGAAGAAAACGCGTGGACGCCCTCGAGCTACTCTTGAATGAAGAAGAGAAAAGGAGTAAACCTTCCCCCGATGGAAAATATGAGCAGTCGTTGTTACGCCGTGCGCAAGACACGGAAGACAAGAAGGTCATCGCCATGGTCGAACGTTACATTCTCAACATGGAGGAGCAAGCGAAGAGGTCTACTGCCAAAGGCCTCCAATCTACGAGAGTTTCGACAGAGAGCAGGAAATGGTGGCAGTTTGGTGCAAAGGCGGACTCCAAAAGTAAGGCCGATGCTAGAGATTCCAGCAGTGCGCCTCGGACTGATGCCGAAAAGTGATGGTGGCCGCTGTCCAAGGCTGCACATGAACCAACATCTGCTGATTCACATTATCAGAAGGAGTCACTCGAGTCAACTTCAAATGAAGACAGATGCTAGCTGACGCCGGTCGTCACACTCAAGTTCATCAACGACAACGCGCCACCACTGCCTTCCTACATATTATCAGATACCTAGTCTCAGTCATCACATGGTGACCAGAAAGCTTCACACCACACCGCTTTCGCTTGCAATATCGGCCCTTGCTGTCGGTTCCCATGCATCTGCATCTCCAAAGTTCTCCACCACCAGCCCTGCAGAACCTGGGACGCTCATGCCTGCCTTCAATTGCTTCTCATATGACACCATCCTCAGCCGTTGAGCTTCGCGGGGCGTCAGTGCAAGGTATGCTTCGATGCCTACCGCGTGCAGAAAGAATGCCAGCCAGAGAGCCATTCCGAAAGTAATGCGAAGGCTCGCTGCAATCTGTTCTTTGATCCCCCTGAAGAAATCTGCATGTATAATCTTCAACTCGTCCTCCAAGATGCTTGAACCTACGACGCAACCAGGATACATCTCTGCCAAGTAACTTAAGTCATGCATTGACCTTAGTTCGCCACAAGTCATGATCACATTGTACGATTCAGTTTTGGAGGCAATCAAGGCGGCGACAACCATGATGATTCGAGTGGTAATTATGGCGCCTAAATAGAACATGGTTCGCAACATCCAAGCTCGATGCTGATCGACTTGAAGTTTTTTGATGTTATAGTACGCCATCCCCAATCCGATGGTAGTGGAAATGACCAGTACTCCAACCGCAGCTTGTGCTGCCAGTTCTCCGCCGAAAGCACGTCGAGCGATCATGAGCGCACCTCCGTTGCTGATGAGGATGAGAAGGATGACGATATAGCCGTTGACGCGATGGAACAGCATTGTTCGACGGCGAATGGCTGGAACGAATTGAAAGACCACCAGAATACCGGCCGGTAGGATAGTGGCCAAGTGGAGCAGCAAGCCAACCCGGCAATGGCCGGCTTGATACCAATACCACTCTCCAGGTGCGGCACTCTTTGAGAATGTTTTCAAGTCAAGGTAGCTGAGCTGAGAAAGACTGAAGCCGAAAAGCGTGGCGGCGAATACGATGACTAGTTAACAGATTCAGCATGGGCTAACGCTTGAGCAACAACATCTCCCACCTACACAGTGGGACGTTATATCCTTCTCGGAACCCAAGCCAGGAGAACAGATTTCTCCATCCGCCTCTTTCTCCCGTATCGTTGGAGGGCGTGTGGATGTTGTTTGAGACGCGACTTGAGGTCGCCATCTTTGTTGAGCTGAGGTGAGATGGTAGGAAAGGGGAGCTTGTTGGACGATTCTGTACAATATGATCTTGCGAGGAGGGCTCGGCGCGTCCATATACCACCGCATTCTTTGTATTCGATTATTGAATACGGCTGCCTAGACTTGGCAAGACGCTTGGAACTTGGTCTAGCGTTGGAGGTGCGTCAGCAGTCTCGAGGCTCGGATGTCTTACAGTTGTCCAGGCCAGTCTTTACCCTAGAGAACAACGTTAAAGGCCAAGCGATGAATTCGAATACGATTCCTGGGCGTAGGATATTTGGCCAATGATTTTGGGCATCCGCTACAGCAAGACTTTTCACCCAAGCAATGATCCAGGCACTTTACTTGTTCTTCTCGTCTTCTTCAACGAATGCATTGCTTATCCGCAAGTAGACCCGTTCTGAGTTCCTGGTCTCGGTGAGTCGTAAAATTGGTTGAGATGACCAGCCTCAAAATATGTTGACTGTGAGAGATGCAAAGGCTGAGCAAGGCTGAGTAAATCGGAGTCGGAGTCGGAACGGAAGCGTTTCGATGCGGGGAAGATACTGGCCAATCATCGCCGACTTCCTGGTGGCAAATGCTTGGGCCTCCAACTTCAACCATCCAGACTTGAACTTCGTTTCAACTTCGTCTTCATCACTGTCGACAAGGGTCCCTCTGCCTGGTGTGTAAACATCATGGCATCATCGGGAGGACACCTCTTGGTCTCCAAGGCCATGAGGCTGGTCAAGTTCGCAGCCGCGAAGACAGGGAGATTCATACGTGACAAGATCCCGCAGGCAACCAAGCCACTCGAGGTCGACGTCCAGCCTGCCTACGCCCGCGTCTCTCAACGCCAGCAGCCTGTCAATCGCCTCGCCCAGATCCGTCAGACTCAAAGTCGTTGGTACAGCACCAGAGTGCACGCTCTCAACAACGCCAGACACTATTCTTCCCAATCCGGCCCCAACGTCCGTCCGGGTCGTGCGTCCTATCCTTCCTCACGTACTGCCACAGCCGTGGGACGATTGACTGGTCGTGCCCCGTTCGCATCTACCCTTCGACCGAACCTCACGGGAGGCACGTTGAGCCGTCATGCGGGCGGTTATGGATTAGGGGGTGGTCGAGTTGGTGGAGCCAGATACTTCTCTCATTCCCCTGCGGCACCAGCACAGGTGGTCACCAACGTCTCCCAGGCCGTACGAGCGTTCTGGCTCTCCGGTCAAAAAGCCCGTTTTGATGGATTCAATCCTCGCACAGGCGAGAAGCGATTCCGAGCCGTGTCGAGCCTTCAAGAGGATGCGAGACATACCATGGACATGTCATCAAAGACTGCGCCTGGGTCATTCATTGACTTCAAGGTCTCTCCAACCATTACCGCTATTGGACCCTTGGCCGGCGTGCCCCGCTCTCCCTCGGCTGCCTCTTGCGATTATGCAGCCCAAAACGACACCTTGAACAACACCACGATCATGTCCAACCTCTCGATTGACTTTGCACGGGCGTTGAAAGACCTTGCTGCTGTCATGAACGACCTCAAGCACTTGGCGACATTGGGGGATCTCCCTATCTCGCTGCACAACAGCGTGACTCTTCGTGTCCGCTTCCCTGGCTGCGACGCAGATACAGTCGAGGCTCTCTGTCGTGAACTGAACATCAAGCGCGGCATAGTCGGCCAAGATGAGGATTTTGATGCGAAGAACGGAACTGAAATGGCTCTTCTGTTCCCATTTGCGCCGAGCAAGACGGCAAGTGAAGCCGGCTTCGTCGGCTCCAACCGTGGCTACGGTGATAGGCCAATCAAGCGCATCAAGCAAGACCGCGTCGAGTGGCAGGAAATGCTGACTCCGCCTGAATGTCTCTCTGCAGGCTTCTCACATGTTTCGGTTACGAGCAAGTCGCCCGACGCGTTCGAGATGATCGACGAGGCAATGGGCCAGAATCCTTGGATGTCAAGCCCGTCGGGCTATTCCAGCCTGCACGAGAGTGAACTGTTGGAAGCCGAGGACGATGCTGCCATGTACTTTTTCCAGCCAAGAAACAACGCCGCTGGGAGAGAAAGATACCCCGAGCCCTCGGTCGGTGGGAACGGCAATGGATACGAGGGCTTGGAAGGGATCTACAGGTTCATCGAAGAGTGTGATCGGGCACGGTCCTGATTCGGCTCGGGGAGAGCTCAGAAATGGCACACTTCTGTTCAATCTTTTGCATTTCCTTTTGTTCAACTCGGTTGGTCGGCTGGACTCCAGTGACAGTGGCAGCTCCCGGATCAGCACTCCTTGATCAATAGTTGAGTTGCGTGAATGCCGGACAAGCTACATACAGTACATCTACAGAGCCCCGGAATGAAATTGCATCCCCTTCATGTATCAATAAGCGTGTCCTTTGCGTTTATTTCGTGCCTGGCAATTGTGTAATGCTGGTGCGTTCGTACCAGTGGGACCAAAAGGCGAGTGACCGGCCAAGCAGACCGTACATTTCGCTGGCAGACTCCTCGCCGTGGTATTATTATACTAGGGTATCCCACTGTTGTACCGGATCTTTGGGTGTGTTCAGCTATCCGCTGAGGCTCTCTGTCTCGCCGGAAAGGGTAGACTTTGGGTTCTCCTATGCTGTGGGCCATGGCCTAGGGACCTTGGGTTTTGGGGCCAATGTTGCCTCCTCCATCAGCCATGGCCGATATCCACGTCCCGGTCCGCGTTCCCATACCCGCTTCTCAACCTGTGCTTGAGTCGTTCATTCTCCTTGATGACGTTCTCCCTCGCTCTCTCCAGCTCATCAATCTTCTCCTGCAGTTCTGCGAGTTGGTCTTCGGCGCTAGAGGAGAATTCCTCGATGATTTTGAAGACGCGCCAGAGCCGGAGGACGACGACCAGCGAGCCGGCCTCTTCCAGCGGACCGCGCAGGAGGACGTCAATTATGAAGGCGGCGATGATGACGAGGGCATCGAATATGTGGAACGGGGTGTTGAAGTACCTATATACGCAGCACCACTGAGGTTAACCAGGTGAAGGGACAAAGGGATAGGATGAGGAGTTGCTAGAGGGGGGAAGGTTACCGGAATCCAAATGCAAAAACACTGCCCAGCAATTCGGCCATGAACAGACACGAGAAGACGAGACTCGCGTACCCCAGCACTTCATTTGCCTGCTCCCAAGCTCTCAGATTGAACCCTTTTTCGCCAGCATGCTCACAGATATGCAGACTGATGAGGAAATCGGCGAAGATACAGCATATGTCCGCCGTGACCAGCAGGATCACAAAGTAGTGACCCCATTTGGACGAGAACCAGTGCTGCAGCGAACGTCGGAGTTTCCATACCGCGCTGTCTTCGCCATGGATCTTGACGATGTGGCAGGCTATGAAGTCCTGTGATTGACGGAGGGCAGAGATGAATTGGCGGTCCGAGGGCAGCAGAGGCGTGTATTCATTTGTGTTGCGGGCGGCATGGACGGGCGAGTTCCCAGGTTCGGGATCGGCCATGTTGGTATCAATGGAGATTCAGATCAGGAGTCAGATCAGGACTACTGTCGGCGGTGTCGGGTCGGGATTCGTGCGAATATCCAGGTCACCGTGCCCAAGACTTCAATGTGCACAGGGGGTGCCGTGAGCCGTATGAAGGTCCCCGACAGACACATCAGACGGGCTATCCGGATCCCTGGGTGAAGCCGCTTATCGCAGGCTCAAGAGCATGGGAG